CATTAGAAGGCAGAAGGCAGTGTTGTAGAGTTTCAGAGATGGGGTGTTGTACATCTAACTGCTTGTCAGGCTCTCCCTTCCCAGCACTATGTGTTGAATACAGTCCAAGATTTTGAATGTCTCCCTACGTGTGGAATCCCAGGCAGGAAAGTGAACTAACTCAGTTTTCATCAATTTCCCTTTACAGGATGTGTCCCATTTTCCAGATTTCAAACGTCACCGGGGAGAACCTAGATTTGCTGAAGATGTTTCTTAATCTCTTGTCTCCACGGACCAGTTACAGGGAAGAAGAACCAGCAGAATTCCAGATAGATGATACTTACTCTGTCCCGGTAAGGGATCTGGCATTTGGAGCAATTTTCCGCTGTGTGTTTTAGGTTGAAGCAGGTGTCATCCCTAGGGAGGGATGTTCTAGAGCTCATCTGTGAGTGTGGTTGAATAACCTTCATTACTGGTGTTTGTTTTCTGGCATAGGGTGTAGGAACGGTTGTGTCTGGGACGACACTGAGAGGCCTAATCAAGCTGAATGACACCTTGCTATTGGGGCCGGATCCACTTGGCAACTTCCTGCCTATTGCTGTCAAATCCATCCACCGCAAGAGAATGCCTGTCAAAGAAGTGCGGGGAGGCCAGACTGCCTCCTTTGCTTTAAAAAAGGTGAGATGATCTGCTCAGGACCCCCAGAATAGGAGCTACCCCCGTAATTTCAGAGTGCTCTTGAAGATCAGCTGCTGTTGGACTGCAAATCTCAGCTACCTCATTTTGTGGCACAGTAAAATCCCATAGAAACCCTGTAGATCCCATGTTCCACCTGACAGGTGCCAGACTGCAGCAGGGGGACCCAAGACAATGAGGAATGTTGAAGATGTGTAACAAAGCAAGAAAATTCTCTGTGCTGCAGCTGCATAAGTATTTCTGAGTAAGATGTCCTCAGAAATTTCTGCTGAACTTGATTTTTGCAACCTTTGCATAACATAGTTGCCTACTGCTAAATTGTATTTGCTTTGCCTTTGTGTGCATGATCTGTGAAGTCCCTCAGGATCCTTCTGGATGCAGTCATCCAGAGGAGAAAATTTCTTCTCCAGAGAGTCATGCTGAAGACTTTTTTTGGGTCTCTGCTTTTCAGATCAAGCGTTCTTCCATCCGGAAAGGAATGGTAATGGTGTCACCCCGCCTGAATCCACAAGCATCGTGGGAGTTTGAAGCAGAGATTCTGGTGCTCCATCACCCCACCACCATCAGCCCACGGTATCAGGCCATGGGTAAGTGTCAGAGTGCAGTCTCAGCTGTGTTTCCCACTGGTAGTAGTTTACTTCAGCTTTAGTCTTTTCAGTCCTGATGGCTCTGTCAGCCTGAATAGAAGCCTGAGTTTTTGCTTTTACTGTTCCAGCAATCCATTAGAGGGACAGGAGGGAAGAAACTGAGAAGAGTAATGGAGAGAAATGTGTAAAAAGGAGATCTGTGACTTCAAGTGTTTTTGTAGCCTGCTTGAGCTGTATCTCCATTGTGCAAAGATTCTTAATCTTCCAGTGCAGATAAACTCATTCTGGGTCTGGCTCTCTAGCCCAGCTGCTTGGTCTGTAGGATTCTGTTAAGGGTGCTTCATAAAGTCTCCATCCAAAGGCAGCTGTTCTCTCTCATACAGGTTTTCTCTTTGAGGACTGAATAAAGGCAGACGTGTGACGCATATAGTCTATGCTACTGAGTTGATTTTCACCTGTCAAACTCAGCACTGTTAGTTTTAAAGTAGCAAGAGCTGCCTTAGATGTCTTCCTAAAGCTTATTCCTCTAATGACACCGTTTGTTGAAAGCTTTTGTGCATTACATTCACAGTGCATTGTGGCAGCATCCGTCAGACAGCCACAATTCTCAGCATGGACAAGGACTGCCTGCGGACAGGGGACAAAGCCACAGTGCACTTTCGTTTCATCAAAACCCCAGAATATTTGCATATAGACCAGCGTCTGGTCTTCCGTGAAGGCCGTACCAAAGCTGTGGGTACCATCACTAAGGTAAGGGCCAAAGAGTCTGACTTTTTTTTTGCCCATTAGCTACTTGTGTCACTGAGAAGCCAGTAGGAGAGTCCCAATAGCTCTGGAGAATTGAAGGAAGAGGCCATCCTTCAATCACAGACGTCAGTCCTGACGTGGGTTGCAGATGCTTTGCTGTGTGGTGGGTCTTGTCTGGTACAAGTGAGGGGATGAGGCAGTAGGGGGTGACCCAAATGCCTCTGGCTCTTAAGGCTTAGTCTCTTTCTGAGAGCTTCCAGCTGGTCTCTTTGATTCACATGGTGGAGGTCTGAGTGGCATCTCATCTGAGTGGCACTTTCAGCCCCATAGGGATTCTGAAGGGCAGATGAAGATTTCTTTGAACAGAACACTGTCTGCATTCTTTTCCCAGTATGTGTTAGTATTAATTCTCCCAATTTTTTTTTTGTTTATTTGTTTGTTTAAAAAATGGTGCTGAACCTTAACAGATTGACCTAGCAATTTTAATGTTGTGTCCTCTCCCTTTGTGATATGCAGTTACTCCAGACCACCAATAACTCCCCAATGAACTCCAAGCCACAGCAGATTAAGATGCAGTCAACAAAGAAGGGAGCTCTTACAAAACGAGAGGATGGTGTTCCTCCAGTTGGGATGGCAACTGGGGGCCCACTGGTGGGGGATGAGCCCCCCTCAACAGCCGCAGCACCACCAACACCTACTGCCCTGCAGCCATCGGTAAGTGAGGAAAGCAGCTTGTCCTTTCTAGCTCTTTGCAGCCTGTTTTTCAGCTGTTGGAGGAAAGATGCTCTAAAACACAACTGTTATTTTCATTCCACTCACCTCAAGACTTAATGTATGGCAGAAGCAAATGGAAATATGGTCTCACAGCAAAAATCAGAATTATCTGATGACTGGATGACTCTTCATGGCTGACCTTCCAGCAGCAAGAAGTGTAGGGGCCTGGGACAATTAAAATTGACCTCAGGAGTAAGACTGTGTAACTTTGCAATGTCTCACTACTTGACTGCGGTCGTGGTGGAAAAGTTCTTTCATATGCCCAGTAACTGAAGTAGCAAAGCATCTAAAAAAACACAGAATGTATCTCTACTGTCTGAATGAGAGATGGAGAATCCCCACACTAGAGAAACTGTGACACGAGTAGTGGTATCGAGCACAGATCATGGAACGAAGATGGAGATATCTAAGGAGAAGAGCACAGTCTGGGTTTTTTAGTGCTCCTTTCTGGAGCCAGGAGTTGTGCTTGGTGATCCTTATGGATCCCTTCCAGCTTGGAATATATTATGATTCTAAGGAAAGGCCATTCACTTTCTAGACGGATTTGTCCAGCTTGCCTTGTTGGTTAGGACTTCTCAGCTTGGTTTTTCCAAGAAGGATACCCAGCTGTGAAAGGAACAGAAACTCCATCGTAACAGCAAGCTTTAGGAGTTATTTTTATCAGCTTTATTACACAGATCTTCTCCTTTTGCTGTACTTACCTGGTAAGCAGCAAAGGTTCAGAAACAGACTGTCAAGAGTCTTGGTCAATGTTCTTGCTTTTAATTTTAACTGTAGTAGTTGCAATTGGCCAGGCTTGCTTCTGAAAGAGGGCCCTCTGGCAGAGGTTCCTTCCTGTGTATATGCTTGTGGCTTCTTATTGATCGTTTGTCACCTTGTTGTGGAATCACTGTGGTTATAGGAAAAGCTCCTCGCTTGTTTTGTCCCTACCCGAGAGTCTGTGTTGCTTTTGCTCTTGCTGATTTCTGTCTCTCTCTCCTCGATGCTTCCCATCAGCCTGCACTGGATGAAGAGCCCCACATCCGTGAGGGCAACAAGGTATTTGGCTACTTTGAATGACAATGGTGGGTTTGGCTGGAGTCTGGGGACAGAGTCATATTAGCAGGAGTGCTGGGAGGGGGGCCCTCCTTTCATTCCCCACAAAGCCCAGGGAATCTGAGATTCAGTTGCCCAGACGCTGAGTTCTGTGGCTCCTGCTGACTCCTAGAGGAGTTAAGCATCCAGAATATTGGGAAATGAGATCTTCCCCAGCTCGAAGGCCCACACTTCTTAACGTGTTTGTCTGTCTCGTCGCTCCTTCCGTCACGGTGCGTCTGCCTTTTTTCCTTCCTGCAGTGGTAAGCAGCCAATCAGTCACAACCACCATCCCAGTATCTGGATGTGTGTGTTGGACTCCTGCTGTGTTGATGATCTGATGTAGAGGTCACTGCATAGTAAGATGTCTCTTCTTGTTTTTCAGTCGAAAGCTGGAGGAGGAGGCCGGCGACGAGGAGGTCAGCGCCATAAAGTGAAGTCTCAAGGAGCCTGTGTGACTCCTGCCAGCGGCTGCTAAATTTCTTACTCCTCCTCCTCCTGAGGAATTCTTCCTCTTTCCTTCATTTCTTATCCAAAAGATCCAGAGCAGCTCAAACCAAAACCCATCCCAGCTGACTGGCTGCAGAAGAAACTTCCTTCCTCCTCAAAGGAGAAGATGGAGAGGAACATTAACTTATAAGCTAATGAAGGTGATAAGACACAGAACAGAGTAACTGACACCTTCCTCCTCCCCCTGTCGACACATTTTTGTACATCATGGGCTTAGTTTTTATTCTTAGTTTTTATTATATTTTGTGTGCATGAAGATAAGAGGAGAGACTGGACAGAGCCAAGAAGAGCCAGTTAGCTGCCTCCCTCCTCCCTCATCCCATTCTGTCTACAGGACTTGCTGTTCTCTCTCACATGCTATCTCAAATCTTGGGGCTGTCAAACACCTGAAATTTCAGACTTGCAGTGGTTAAAACTCGTTGTTTAGGGTGACTCTTTATGGCACTGCTTCTGCACTGCTGTGGCCACATGCCAGATACGTTTCTGAGTTCTCCCCCATCATAACCGATTTATAAGTGGTTTTAATTTCACGTCACATAGTGACAGAGATTTGAATGAGATGATGGTAAGAAAAAATTCGTTTGTTTGAGGTCTAAGAGGGAAGGAAATTGAAAAGCAGTTCTTGATCTTAAGTTGAGGAATCCCATACTAAATATCCTTCTCAAATGTATTAGTAGCAGTTAAATTTTTTTTTTTTTTTTAGAGACAGAGTTAAATGGGCAGAGGTTTGCCCATCCTCTTCCCCTTCCCTGCTTTTCCTATTGCCTGTTCAGTGCATTCTGGAGCAAATCCTACTTGCCTCTCTTGGCTGTGGCAGCTCAATGAACAGTATTAACAATATTGTGCAGGAGCACTCAGTCCGTCCCTTGAGCCAGAGAAAGAGCCTTCTCACCTTGACGGACAGAGACCCCATGGGTGGAACAGACACCAGGTAAAGATGACCTTCCCTTGATTTTGGTTGCTCCAGGATTTCCTAAGCGTTTTCTAGAACTCACTGGCCCTCTGGCTGTGGTAGAGATTGTATGATTTGTCTTCTCCCCTCTTGGCCAAAGAGGGACCAAACTTACAGAAGTGCTTTCAGGTTTGGAAGTACGTGGTAATTTTTCTGTCTTTAATTTAATTAATTCAGTTGTAAATGGTGAATTCTAGTTTCAGGAAGGCCCTGCAAGCATGCTCTATGAAATACTAATATCATGTCTTCTAACCCCAGGCTGTGTGAGCGATCAGTTCCCCGTTTGTTCTCATCTCTCCTCTCACTCAGCCTCTTGGTGGCTGCCTGCAGGACAGGAGTTACCCCCTGTGGGTGGGAGTGCAGGGCCATCTGGAGGGAGGAGATGGACACCAGCAGATTGCTGCTCTCCCCAGCATGTGTGGTCACCTTCAGTTTCTTTGAGGTCCTTCTTCCCCAGTGGAAGACTTCTCATGGAGGGAGACTTTAAGGTTGTAGTCCCTCTCCAGAGGGCTGTTCCTGCTTCTTGCTAGAAGTGTAGAGCTCCTTCCATTCACTGCTTGGTTTCAGGTAGGCTGGAAAGCCAAGGTTGGAGGTAGGCTCAAATGCCATCCAAGCAAGAGCAAGCATTAGGGCTTGAGAGGGAAAAGCTCATCTCCTGACGTGGATATCAGCACTCGAAAAGCATTAAGCAGCGTGGTGAGGTGAGGAACACCACGGAGAGGAGGTACTTTGCCTTAGAGACTGTAGCGGCCTGAGCACGGGTGGCAGCGGGGAGGTCAGCCCGTCCTTTCCCAGCTACGTGCCTAAACACCAGCGCTCTCCTGGAGAGGGGGGAACCATAGGCGGCTACGACACTAATAGCACCCGCGTTGTGAGGGTGTGAAGTGTGGCTAAGCAGGGCACGAGGGCCTGCTGCCTTTGTCCTGGCCCTGTAGCAGCATCAAATGCATCAGATTTCACTGCCCTCCGCTTCCGAGGGGAGTGGAAGGCTGCGGCGGTGTTCTCTTTCTCCATTCCTTGTGCTCCAAATGAAGGAGACTGCCGAGACTGGAAGAGGGTTTACTTCGGTTCGGGTGAAGGAGGCGGTGCGATCTCTTTTGTGACCAGCATTCAAAGATCACTCGGGCTGGCGTGATCTATAAAATAAATTTTAAAAAAGTTTGTTCCGAGTTAAAGGCTGTCTGATGGTTTTTTTGTCCTTCTGGAAAAGCAGTGCTTGCAGCTTAAACACTGCCGGCCACAAGAATGTTCACCTGGCACTGCTCTCCTTCGCTGGCTGCAAGAGGAGGCCGTGCTTGCAGCAGGGAGCAAAGTCCAGAGGACTGAGCCCCTACAGAATTTGCTTTGTGTAAGAGTTGGTGCTTCTCATTGGTGGTGAAATGCCAAGCTTAGCAATTCTGCCGTAATTGGTGAGCATAGGCTCCAGCCAGCTCGAGAGTGTGGGGGTGCTGTCCTTGTGCCAGAGCCTTCCCCCAGACACAAAACAGCCTCACAGGGAACTGCAATGGAGAGCCAAGGCTGGGGCAGCCTCAGGTCCTGGGCACAGCACAGAGCCGTGGCATTGCTAGAAGGCAGCAAGCAAGGCTGCAGGCTTCAGCTTATGCAGCCCAAGGAGTTCAGGTCTGTAAGAGGGCAAACCTGCATGCCTGGATGTAGTATGGCAGCTGGAAAATAAGAATTGGGTGTGAGACTACACGACAGCTACAGCAGTGATGTTCTCATCTCGCCGCATTTCGTTCTCACCTGCCAACACACCAACTAACCAACCACCTCTTAGCAGTTCTGATATAATTTATTTGTCTTGGTCTTCTTTCTTTGCATAGGCATAAATTACAATCTGTTGATTAAAAAATACAATGAACAAAACAGTGCAGCATTTGCAGCAGGCTACAGCATTAAGTACATCTCCTGCCTGTAACAGTCCATTGGCGCAGGGTGGGTCTGTAACATTGCAATTGGGCAAACTGAGAGCGAGGGGGGAGAACAGAGGAGAGTGGAGTAAAGAGCGGATCTCCAGCCCTGCGGTTATGGCATTTCCTCCAGCAGATGGACAGCCCTAATAAAGAGGAGAGCTGCATCTCCACTCTGTTTCTCATTCAAATAAACACAGGACAGGTCTGGGTGCTCAGCAGCGTCACCACTCGCAGGCAGCTGCAGCCAAGCTTAAAATAACTCAGGCTGCGGATGCCAAAAGTTGAAGCTCTATGCTCAATATAGGAGCAAATCTATTTCTCTCCCCAGTGCCCTGGCTGAGGGGCTGTTTTCCCCCAACAGCAGGGCCTCCTGACCCCATGCGGCCATTTCATGTGATTGGAGATGGGGACAACATTGTCCCAATCCCCTGAGGCTGACAGCCTTGTGCCCTTCTCTTTGCCCCTTGCCTCTCCCAGAGCAGGGATCAGTGCTCAGTACCTGGGAGGATGATGCCAGCATCCTACAGGGCACAAACACCACAAGCAAGCCCTGCAGCTTATATTATTATTTGCAAACTAAACGCAAGACAAATGTGGTTGTTAGAAACACTACCCCAGAGCATAAGCTGAGCTGTAAACTGAGGCTGGGGGACCCTGTGAAGCTCAGCAAGCCTTCTCCACCCCATGGCCCACACCACAAACCAGATGGGAGAAATGGTACCCAGGACAACAGCTCCCAGCAGCAGCTGCCTCTATACATGTGTGCCAGTGGGAAAGTGAGCTCGGAGGATGTCCTGCTGGCACCCGGTGTGGGGCCCCGTCCCCCAGCCCAGCTGTGCTCCTATTATTGCAACTTATCCTACAGCGTGTGCATCCTTGTGCCAAGCGAAGCTCTAGCCCCACTGCCAGGCGAAGCTGCTCGCTCCAGTGGTATCATGTCACAGCCCCACCTCCACGTAAGTAGAAATTGCATGGAAAAAGTTTTTCCATTGTTAATACAAAAAAAACCAAAAAACCTCAACAATCTAATTGGAAAACAGTCCCACCCCTTAAAAAAAAAAAAACAGCAGAGCAAATCCAAAAGGGGAAGCAGGCGAGGTTTGAACGTAGCATCCTCAAGCTTAGCAAGCAGGATAGGCAGCCCCAGGCATGGGGAACCCGAGCATCACTGGGATCCAACACAGCTGCTGGTCCAAGTGCATGGACCCCAGCCCAGGACTGGCTTTGAAGCCCACACCTGCCACGTTTCTCCCCTCCTGCTGCCCCCCAAACCTTTACTTGTACAATACTCAATTAATACTGTCTCATGTCCCCTCTGCCTGCCCAGCATCGAAGGGTTTGAGGTCCTTAAGATCTTGAGAAACACAGAGGGGAGCACCATGCTGCACGGTGCCCCAGCGCATCACGGAGTTCCCTCCCTCCCAACTGTGGGAAGGTTATATGTGCCACCAGAAAGGGGACGGCGCAGCCCCAATAGAAAAAAATGAGCTTCAGAAGTCAGAAGTGTCCGAAACGCACCGAGAGCCACCCGCGTGGGATGTCCTCGCCTCACCCCCCTGCAGGCAAAAAGTCCTTTCCTCCGCAAGCAGCAGCGCAGGCGAAGGGCAGTGCAACCTCCTGCATCCCAGGACGGCCCTGTCTGGCAGCAGGGGAGGGTCAGAGCGCCGGCTCCCCGTGCACACGGAAGCGGTAGATGCAGGTGTACTCGGGGTGGCCCCAGTTGCTCAGCACACGCAGCTCCACCAACTGGAAGGCTCCCACGTCGTCATCCTTGGGGACAGGAGAGATGTGTCACAGAACCGCGGGATGGTTGGGTTGGAAGGGATCTCTGGGACCAGCAAGGTGCCCAGGGTCAAGCCCATGTGGGTGCTGGAGATCTCCATGGAGAAGATAAGTGGAAATGGGCAGGCAAGACCTCCCAGTGAAAGGCTTAAGGTGGACATCCGCCCCTTTCCCACTTCACTGAAGGCTCTGAGGACAGAGGGACCCCATGACCACCCCCCATCCAACACCATCACCCAACTTCCTTCCCATGGTGAGTGCTTCATCACCACTGCTGCACCTTACCTTGAAGTAGAATGTTTGGATGGGGTCACCATCCTGGTTATAGGTGAAGCGCCCCAGGAGAAGGCCCTCCTCCTCTCGCTCCTCTTTCAGGCCCTACAGGGAATAGAAAAGAGACAGGGATGTTCAGGATGGGGAATAGGAGCCATGAAGGTGCACCCCACCCTCCAGCTTCCCACTACAACCCTACTCACGTAGACAGTGAAGTCCTTAGGAGCACTGGGGATAGTTCCCTGGGGTGACAGTGCTTTGGGAACGTGCTCCAGTGTCACGGCTGTGGGGCGGATGAGGCTGGAGAGGCGGATGACAGCAAAGCCCTGGGAGCCACGGAAGGCCCAGCAGTTCCCGGGGTTGACGTCTGGCTACGTGCACAGAAAAGGAATGCCAGCTCTTAGGTATCAGAAGCAACATTATCACCATCAGGACCGTTTTTTCTCCCATCAACGGCAGCCCAGCCACTGTGCCCAGTGTGAGCTCTGCATCACCCCAGAGCTCTCAACCCACTCTCAGTGCCCACCTGCAGGATGACGCGTGGGGACTGTGAGTGGTACCACAGAGGGATCCCGAACAGGCTCAGCAGTGCTGTCTTTGTCTCATAAGTTTCAGAGCAGCGAGTGTTGATGACGCTGGCCCCTGGCACAGGGAAAGGAGCACAGGGGTAAAGCAGAAGTGCCAGCACTCCCTGGCTACCTCCAGCTCACCTCCCTGCCACTTACCTGCTGACTCCAGGGCGTAGTCGACCATTCCTACGCGGTCCTCACTGTAGCGCTTCAGTGCTTGGTCCACGATGAGGTGTACTTGCTGTGGGGATAAAGAGAGGCCTGGTCACAGCTATGGAGTGCTGTCCCCGCCTCCAGTCCACGGGACCTTCTCACGGGACAGGCAATGATGAATCACTGCAGCAAAAAGGAGCAGGCGTGCGCTTGGCTGCAAAGCCTCATTAGAGGCTGCTAAAAATACCCGGGACAAGAAGTGCTGTGCAAGGAAGGGGCAGTGCCTGGCTGGCTGGGCTCTCCCTTCCCAGTGCTGATGGATGAGGAGGGGGACATGGACCAGGCCCAAGGCCATATAGTGCCCCCAGAGCTGATCCTAAAGCTCAGCATCCCAGTGTCACCATGTGCACAGAGCCTGTACAGGGTGAGGGGAACGCTAGCCCTGTGCGATCCCTCCCTGCCTCCACAGGGAGCTGCCAACAAAAATTTCCAAAGCAAACAAGCTCATTTTTTCCTCCACTGTCATCCTGCTGCAACGTTTTGCCCCAAATGACTCAGCAGTGCTGCTAGGGACAGGGCAAACAAGGTGGCTCTGGTTGTTTGCAAGCTCCATGAAATCCCCACCCATGTCCCCAGTGCTCGGCCATCACTCACCTCTTCTGTCACCCCCCCGGCTCCCCCCTGCCGCAGGGCCACACCAATGCTGTCCCGTGCTGCCAGCCCACGCTCTTCCCGCATTTGGGCGAGGATCCGGAGCTCCAGGGCACGCAGCTCTGCCTGTAAGTCCTCCCGCTGGAGCAGCAGCCCGGCCGTGCCCTCGTCCTGCCGGCTCTGTGCCAGAAAGCGGCTGATCCATGCTGGCATCTGTGCTTCCACCTAGAAGTGTGGCACAGGGCTCAGCTGTGGGGCAGAGACACTCACCTCTGCCTCAAACAGGGCCCTGGGTGGGGGTGGAGGTCCCTAAAAGGGGGGATGTCCTGGACTTACGTCAGCCCGTGTTGCCTTGATCTGCTCCAGCACAGCCTCCAGGTGCTTGCTCACAGCCTCCTGGTCTGAGCGCAGCCCTGCCAGCTCCCTCCTCAGTGCTGACACCTCCTGCTGCAGCTCACCCGTCGCCCGCTGCCAGTGGCCCTGCAGCTCCTCCTGCACTGACCTGTGCCACCAGCACAATGAGAGAAATGCCACCGAGCACCACCAAATGCCCCAAAACGCCAGGCTGTGGCCTGCCCCACCCTAAACAATGGGGTTTCTCCCCACACTGAGCAACAATACCTCTGCCACTCTGCATTCAGCTCCTGCAGCCGGGCCTCCATCTCCTGCCAGCACAAAGGCACAAGAGTCCACATGAATGCTGCCCACCAGCCCCAAGGACCCCCGCAGGGTGCACATCACTCACCTGCGAGGCCTGCGCCATCTTCCCCAGACGTTTGTCCATATCAGTCTGCAGCTGTGTCCGCAGGGCGTCCAGCTCACCCTGCGGGACAAGGATGAGATGGGGACATCAGAACCCATCCCATCACATCCCCATGCCCACACCACCCTGCTCCCCTCACCTGGAGGTGCCCGGTCATGTCGCTGCGCAGCCGTTCCTCCATGCTGGCCTGGCGGCGGCCCAGCAGCCCCTCCAACAGGCCCAACATGTCTCCCGTCGGTGGGGGTTCACCCCCAGCCACCCCCAGCTCCCAGCGTGACACCGCAGCCTCCAGTGCCTCAAAACGCTTCTCCAGAGCCTGGAAGCGGGCCAGGAGCTGCTGCTCTCCTCGCAGCCCCTGCGAGGGGAAAGAGAATGCCATGCAGCCCCCGTGAGCCTTGCGGGCCTACGTGGGTGGCTGTGCCCCATTACTGCTTCCCCTCCCTCCATCTTTGAGATGTACCAAAATTCAGGGGCTGTACCCATGGGCACAGAGCTCCCTTGGGTGTCTGGCCCCAGCCATCCCGCCCCAAAGGCAACCAGTTTGTACCTGGTCCAGTGCAGTCATGTCCCGTGCCCCAGGCACGTCTGAGGAGGAGAAGCGTCCCGCTCCCCACCATGAGAAGATGGGGAGGCTGTGTGCTGACAGGCCATATGGGTACAGGTACCACGCTCCTAGGCACACAGGGGACGAGATGGTTCAACAGTGAGATGGTGACGGGGGACAGAAGCCACAAGCACTGAGCTTGCTGCCATCCCATCCTGGGTACAGCATGGGGATGATGGCTCTCCAGCCCTGTATCACAGTGGGATGAGGGAATAGTAGTGGGCTCACCATAAGCAACTGCAGCAAGGAGCAAGAGGAGCAGCAGCAACCACAGGGACTTCTTCAGCCGCGGGTAGCGCCTGCAGAGTGGGGAAGAAAGAGGTCTATGGGCTGTGTCTTGCAGTGGTGGGATACTCCTGGGGCTGGGATCCCACTCACCTGGACAGGGGGACACGCTGTAGCTGGGGAGCCCTTCCAGTGACATGGTGCCAGGCGGTGGCTATACAGGACAGGAGCCATCCCACAAATCGGGCTGGGGGAGGACAAGCAGGCTCAGAGGAACCCCAGGACATCCCCTCTGCCTCCAGGGCTGCTCTCTGGAGGAAGACAATCCATGCATGCAGCATCCCCTTCCCTCCCTGCCTCAGATTTGCAAGAACCAACTGCTACATGGTCAACAGCAAGTTGGCATGAGAGCAAAGGAGCCCCATAGGACAACAAACCTCCACATGGGCATGGGACAAGACCCCTTCCCCCTCAGGCCCTCACTCACCTGGTGCAGTGAACACCTGCCACAGGAAGGAGCCAACCCTGGAGGCGGCAGTCCTCAGCCCTGACCCCGAACTGCTGTGGGCAGAGTAGAGCTGACCTAGAGGGAGATAAGGACAAGAGGTAACAGCTTTGAGTTGCGCCATGGGAAGTTCAGGTTGGATATAAGGAAAAAATTCTCAGAAAGAGCGGTGCCTCAGTGACACAGGCTGCCCAGGGAGGTGGTACAGTCACTGTGTGGATGTGGCACTGAGGACATGGTCAGTGGGCATGGTGGGAATGGGCTGATGGTTGACTAGATAATCTTAGAGGTGTTCCCCAACCTTAATGATTCTGGGATTCTGTGTGAGGGGAGGCAACAAGACATGGAATGGAACCCACATCCCTAGGTTTGAAAATAGGGGCTAGGACTCTGTGGTCCCATGGAGGTGTCCCCAGCATCCCACTACTGCATTCCTACCTGCATAGTCGTCTTCTGAGGAATACCCAGAGGAGGAGGCATAGGTGTCATAAGTTCGGCTCTCCAGCAGCCCGTTGACTTTGCTGGACTCCGTGTCCCCTGTATCCCTTCTCCTCCTGGTCGAGAGCTCCCTGCCTGCTCACCCACCCCAAAAAATCCCATAGAAACAGCTCAGAAAACAGCCACTCTGAAACAACCGGGATGCCCCAAGGGGTTGAGGCGACAGATGCCACGGGAGGACAGGCTCACCCCAGTAAGTGCTGCCATCCAGGGCATCATCCAGCGCGGCCAGCCCCCGGCTGCCCCCCAGGTATGACTCGCTCACCAAAGACTCGCTGTAATAGGAGGTCTGGGTGCTGGGGCCGGGCGACAGCCGTTTGGTGCCGCTTGATTTCCTCCTCGCCGCCGTCCTGCCGGGATGAGAACCAGCAGATCGGCGTCACATAGCGGAGGCGCGGCTACGACGCCGGCACCGGGAGCGCTGCAGGGCTGGGAGGATGCTCGGCACGGCGCAACCGCTGCTTTGCGAAACCCCGAAAGGTGGGGAGCCCCCGGCCCCGCTTCCGCTTACACCGCTGCGGTTTTCCGGCACGGCGCTCGCAGAGCTTCCCTCCCTCCCGCCATCGCGCCCAAAGCTGCTGGGTGCCAAAAGCCTGAACCCGCCCCCTCCCCCCCCCCCCCTGTCCCTGCGGTACCCCCGAACCTGGCGGTGCTCTCCTTGAAGGGCAGCTGCGGGCCGCCCAGCAGGGAGCTGGTGCCGTCCTCATCCTCTGAATAGAGGCGCGAGGTGACGAGGCGCTGGCTGCGGCGCGACATGGTGGGGGGACAGCGGCTCACCTGGGGGACACACGGGGGGGGGGACAGTGTTATGGAGAGGAGGGGGGGGGAGCAGCCACGCTCGGGGACACCCCTAAGTACCCCCGTGCCGAGGGACGCATAAGGCCAACCCGAGCGCACCCAGGGGCACCTGCTCACGGGGCAGTGACAGCTGCACTGTTCCTTTATGCCCCCCCCCCGCTGGTCCAGGCAGCCCTACGACCGAGACGCGAGCGGGACTCCTCCCACCCCACCCAGTACCCCCCCATGCCACAAGACCTCTTCACTCCCAGAACCCCCCATTCCCCACCCCACGATACCCAGGACCCCCCCCATCCCTCCCCCAGCACCCACCGCACAGCCGAGGACAGTCGCGGAGCCGCCCGCTCCCCGCGCCGCTCCTCTCCCTTTTGTTTTGCAAGACGCGGCCCCCCCGCTCCTCCCCCTCCCCCTCCTCCCCCCCCCCCCCCCCCCCCCCCCCCCGCCCCTCCCGGCTCCCGCCCAGCCCCAATGCTCCGCCCCGGCAGCTCCGGGGGGGCGGGGGGGTCCCGGGAGGCGCAGCGCTGCGCTCGGGGCGTCCCCGTGTGCGGCGCACACAGCGCGCCTTTGTCTGCTATTTTTTTTTCTTTTTTTTTTCTTTCTTTCTTTCTTTTTTTTTTTAAAGTTCTTGGGTTTTTTGTCCCTTGTTTCTTTGTTGGTTCCTTTTTTTTTTTTTCCCCTTTCCTTCCAGCCCATTAATTCTAGCCTCAATCTCCCCTTGCCGTTCCCAGGACCCATTAACCGCTGCCTTCCCCCCCCTTCCCCATAGCTCATTAGCGACCAATTCACCCAATTTGCTGCTTTCTGCACCGTGTCCTGGGGACACCTCGTGCCCCCGCCGCCACCCCAGGGACCCATCCCCACCACTCATCCCCACCATGGGGCACGAAGCCCCTGTCCCACAGCACCTGTCCCAGCTGACGCAAACCCACCGCGGATTAACCCCGGCCAGGATTAGTGGATAAGCCAGAAGCCGGGCGCTATATATGGTGCAGGGCCCGGTGTGGATCCCAGAGCCACCTCTGCAGGAGGGACGCGGCGCCCGCTGGGATTTTTGGGTGGGTGTGGGAAGAGCGTGGGCAGGGATGAGCACTGCGGGTTGGGTGAACCACGTGGAAGCTCACCAAAGGCCCCATTAATTGTAGGCTGGGGAAAAGCTGGAGAGGGACTGACTGCAGGAAAGTGGACCAGCTTTTTGCACAGGATGAGGGGGAATGGCTTTAAACTAAAAGAGAGGAGATTTAGGTTAGGTCTTGGGTGGAAATACATTACTCAGAGGGCGGTGAAGCACTGGCACAGCTGCCCAGAGAGCTGTGGGTGCCCCATCCCTGGAGGTTCAGGGCCAGGTTGGATGGGGCCCTGGGCAGCCTGAGCTGGTGGGAGGCAGCCCTGCACACAGCACGGGGACTGGGTGGGCTTTGAGGTCCCTTCCATAACCAACCATTCTGTGATTCTATGAAAATTCTTTCTCTCATTATAAAAGGATTTGGAGGGATGGCCATGCCAGCATGCCACGTGAATCTGGGACTGGAAAAACAGCCCTGCTGGCCGGGATCCCAAATCATGTTTGCTCCACGAGGCCGACCTATTTATTTAAATAACGCGCGCACCTGCCCGTCTCCCCTTGCATCATCCAACATCACGCACTCCAAGCTCTTCCCAGGGTGACAACAGCCATCACATCACGTCACCATCCCCGTCTCACAGCCACGACCCTACGTCATCCACCAGCACCTGGTGGGGCTGTGCTGCTGTGGCCAGGCAGCGTCCCACAGCCGCCAGCACCTTGCCCAAGCGCCGGTCCAATGCCTGCAGGTGGGGCTCAGCCAGGATGGGCGCCAGGCGGTCGGCAGCCAGTGCTTCCCGCATCAGATCACTCAGGCGGTAGGGCTCGGTGGCCAACAGCCTCAGCCGCAGGTAGGTGGACTTCTTGATGCTGCCGATGCGGAGGAGAGAGCCTGGCATCAGGCTGGGTTTTCGCCAATGGGAACATGGGTGGTGGGAGCCACTTACCTGCAGCACTGCTGGAGCGGGGCCAGGATTGACATCTCGTCACGAGAGTGCGTGCCGAAGCTGAGGGAGAAACCCAAGGGTTGGCATTGGGGTGTGTGTAGCATTACCCTGCATCGGCTCTCATTTTGACTCTTGGCACCCCTCAGCCCCAGCTCTGTCCACTTAAGGTGGTTGAGTGCTCCCCTCTCTCCTACCCGCGGCCATTGTCCAAGTGAAGCAAGAAGGTATCGTTCCCAAATTTCTCAAAGGTCTCATAGTGGTGCCGGTCCATGTTGCCTAAAAGAGTGAGGAGAGAGTGGCAGCAGTGGGATGCTGGGATGGGTACCCGCATGGCCCCATGCCAACTCCTGCACAATATCATCCAGCGCTGAGTTCTGGCAGGAGACAAGCACCCCAACACTGTGATGGTACAGGGCAAACCAGCCTCACTCATGTCATTCACTGCGGGAGAGTTGGACTAGATGACCTTTAAGGGTCCTTTCCAACTCAAACAATTCCATGACTCAGTGTATGCAACATACCACAGGTTCTTCAGTCCCAAACATGCCATCAGGTGGGGACCAGGCCATGGGGACAAGCAGGCAGAGTGCCTTCACGGTGCAAAGCCTGACCATTGCCTTTCCCACCAGCTACTGGAAAGTGAGGAGAAACCGGAGGGATGCACTCACCCATGAGGAAATCAAGTACTGCCATGTCGATGAGGTCAAGGAGACGATGACCACTGTCATAGGGTGGCGTCCGGCGCACCTGGGTGCAATAGTTGGGGTCCTGCTCCCACCTTCAGACAAAGAATGGACAATGGGTACATGAGAGCGACCACAGGGCCACCTGGGCAGCCCTCCTGCGCTCCTCGAGTCCCTTTGTGTCCCCCAATGTCCCAGCTCACTCAGCCTTCTTGCTCTTGTGGTAGGAGCGGCGCCAAGGGCTGCGCCAGGAGCGACGCTTGGCCAGAGCTTTGTCGGGTAGCAGGACTGCCATGGAGCCCTCCAGCTGGTCCGGCTTGCCGCACAGAGCGTGCTCAGTAGAGCAGTAGTAGGAACACTCCCCGTAGAAGCAGACGTTGCCCGCTGGTATGGGAGACAAAGCACAGGCTGATGACCGAACAAGAACCAGATGAAGCTACTCACCATGCCACACGCATAGAGCAATAGCATGGTGACTCTTCTTGAGAACCACCTCCATAGATGGGGACGCGGTGGTAGCTGGAGTCATTCCCAGATGGGTGCCTGCCCTTGTGTGAGAGCCAAAGGTTAGCAAGAGCTCACCTGGGGAAATGAAGAAAGTCTTGGCCAGTTTCTTGTCAGTCGTGATGTCCCGGATCTCCTTTGTTATATTCACCAAGCGACCAGAAACAGGCGGGATTCGTCGGAAATCTAGGATCCTAAAACACAAAACTCAGCACATTTTCTTGCCAGTGGAGGCATTTTTTTACACCCAGTTAGTACAAGTGCCATGAGATGCAGGCATCCTTGCAATAGAGGAGGAATAAATGGCTGAAGGAGTTGTTTCTTGGCCAGGGTTGGATGTGAGGTTTGCTGGGAGGCTACAGGCCCCAGAGGGAAGATTTTTGGTCGTGTTTCCCACCAAGCACAGGGTAGCCCCCAAGGGCTGAGGCCTCTTTTTGGGTGCAGGCCACACAAGAGAACTCACCTGTCCAGGTGAAAGGCTGCAATCTCCGCATTGTGCCGCTCAAAGTCTGAGAAGTAGAAGAAGTCAGCGGGGGTCTCTTGGTCCCTGCTCTGCCTGAGAAGATTTGGGGAGGGCAGGGATGGTGGCCAAAGAATGGATCACCTCCTGCTTGTTCCCAAACCACCCCTTGTGCTGTGTCTGTGGTGCCACCGAGACATGACCAGGCACAGGTGTACCCCACTGTGTGGTGCGGCCCCAAATGCCACTGGGACAAGGGCTGGGAAGTGGTCCTCGTGGATCATCTTCTCCTTCCCACCACTGGAGGTCACTAGCCCATCACAAGCTGCACCAAGCCTGCAGCCAGCAGTAGGGGAAGGGGCCTCCAGCGCTGGGGCTGAAGTCAAGCTCTACTCACTTCATGGGTTTGAAGAGGGCCTGCCCGTAGTTTGGGAAGGTCATGATGAGCTTCAGCTGGGTACCGCCAGACTTCTGCACTGGAAGGGAGCACACAAGGGTGACTAGGACTGGTGGGGAGGCCAATGGGATAGGGATGTGGGTAGGGGTGAATACCCGAGCTGACAATCTTCATGGTGGCCAGGTCCTGCAGGAGGGTGGGCATCAGGGGGTCCCTACGTGGGTACAACTCATAGCGGTTGATGCCGACGTGGAACTTGAGCCAGGCAGGGTAGGTGTCGTAGGCTGTCTTCCCTGTCGGGAGGACCATCTCGGCTTTACTGCTGCTGACCCTGCAGCCCAAAAGCCACCACCACCCCAACAACAACATTTAGTTGGGATGGGGTCTTGTTCCCAGGCCCTTTCTGGGAAGAGCCAGCACAAGGCCTGGGTGGTGGCGGAAGCCCCTAAGGCAGGTCCCCTTGGCAGCTGATGGCCACCCTTGCATCCCCCACAGAAAGTCCCCATGGTCTCCCAGCTGGTTCTCAGTTTCCAGCTGATCTCACCCCAGGGGATCAGCTCCCAGGTGTGCAATCAGCTATGCACAGTTAAAGGGGAACACAAAACATCCATAAAAGAATGCTTCCCAGCAGCATCCTGAGCTCCCACCTGCAACTGACTCCCCCTGACCAGACCAGTGACAACCCCTGGCTTCTCTGTGGGATGAATTTGGGTTATCTAGTCCCCCCATCTTAGTATTTTCACCTCTGGAAGGTGTGCTTTTCATAAGGAATCTGCTGCGTATTACCCATGGTATCTCCGTTAATATCTTCCCTTCTAATTAGAGGTTAGTAGTGCAGGGACAAAAATAGGCACCCAGCAGTGGAGAGCTCACCACCCAGCAGAGCCTAAAGAGGTCAGAGAGTGCCCTGAGAAACATGGGACTGCCGTGGTCTCGTGTCAAGAGCCAGCTGACATTTGGGGTTTTGCATTTCCAACATGAGGTGGGTGAGAGAAGGGGATCAAACTGGTCAGAAGTCTGCATTGGGGAGTTCCCTGAAATTTACAGTGAGAGACCAGTGCTGGGTAAGGAGAGGAGGAGATGACCTAGAAGATATCATACGTAACACTGAATAATTCAGGCCTCTCCTTGGACTTCACCATGTGCCACATGGGCAGGAGGCTCCCTACAGCTCCCTGGGGCAGCAGCTTGGAAATGGGGCTGAGATAAGATCTGAGGCACTGGGGCGATCCAGGTGGGATGCTGAGCCAAGCAAGGAAATAATTTGTTTGCTCCCTGCCATTTGTCCCCTCAAGCACCTCCACGCATCCCCCCCAGACCAGCCCACTCCTCACCATTCATCGCTCC